TAGAAACTGGTTTAGGTGGTGTGTAGAAGTTCATCTTTTTTTTTAAGTACCCTCTTATATACTGGCACTGTTGTATGGTCATGGTGGAGTGAAAAGTTCATATTCTTTGTTTTCTTTCAGCCACTTAATGTTAGGGTCTGGGCTTCCCTCTCCCTTCATACAGTATTCTGCCCATAGCCAGACCACCCATCCAACATTATTTTCCACTGTAAATGAATTGGCCCCATTCAAGATGCTGGTCACGTACTGCAGCGATCCATAAGCATCACCTTACACTTTCTACGGTATCAAAAAAGATATTTTAAAATCTAAAGATATATTAAGTAAATGAAATAAAATAGCACCAAAATATATTATAAATTTTCTGGAATAGAAAAATATTAAATGTTCTTTCTTAAAACCACAGTAACAAGTTTTTGGGCTATCAGTCCCAAGGATTTATCTTGTGGTGCTGAGAATCCAGGCCCTTTTTTTTCTGGAATCTTGGCCTTGTTTGTCCTCCTCTGGCTCCACCGCTGCTAACATTTCGTCCATTCCTTTCATTAAGTTTTCAGCTAAATCTGCCATTCTTTTTCTCCACCTACGTCCTACTGAATAAGAGTCTGTCTGTAGAAAGGTAGTTAATTTTCTTGTTCTGTTCAGCATGACTGCATAAATGTCAATGCCTGAATGAAGTTAATTGGGAGTGTGCGAACACACCTCCCTTTCAGTTACGAGGCACACTGTTCCGTGCGCGAACACACGAACGCCAAGATCTCATGGATTTATCTTTTTTTCTCACTTCACTCCGTTGCCTTTCGGCAAAAAACTCGCTCTAACAAAGTTTCTAACCTCCCTCGTGGAAATGTGATAACGCAATGCCTTCTGGGAATGAAACGTATTCTTGCATAATCTCAGAATGTCCCGATAAGACCGAATACTGTAATAGAGCCCAAGTGGCATATTTCATAACTGTTGAGGTCATTTTAGTAATATTTAATCATAATAATGTTTGGTAAAATTCAAAATACAATTGCTTATCGAAGAGCAAATGGCATATATTGAATGAGTGTTGTTGAAAAGCATCACGAAAATATGATGGTTTGTTTGAAATTATATACAGTTTATAACTAAGTAAAAAAATGCAAACATGATAAGGCATGGCATTGAAACTGGAGACATGGTGTTCATAACCTTCTGTATGTTGAATGGGTCCTTAAAGGGATAGTAAGTCTTCCTTTTGGCCAAAAAAAAAAAAAAAAAAAAAAAATGACTTTACCTGAAATAAACAACAATTTTACCAAATTTACCAATGGTTAATTAATCCATTTTTCATTCAAAGTTAGTTCCTAGTTTTTTTCTAAAAAGTTTGTTTTTTTTTGTTATAATCTCCTAAGAGATTGCAACAGAGTAAAGCCATCATTGGAGGTCACGTGGTCTACAGACAAGTTCGGATATCAGAATAATAGCTATAACTGCCGTTTTTGTGATAAAACAGAATATATATTTCTATGAGTTGTTCACAATGTTTTTATTGTGAAATATAGATCTCATACGAAGAGGTATCCCTTAAAACATAATTTTGGTCCATTTGCAATAACAGGAGGTCTCTCTTTTTGATACTACTAAGGAAGCCAGTACATGATAATTAGTTTAAACACCCCATTTTAGCACATAAATGAACATTATAAAGAGATGGGTCTAAGATAAGGTTAGGGAGCAAGTCATGCTCTAAGAAGGCATTCAGAACAGCAGACCATCAGATCTGTGGATCCAGTATGGCCAATCGACTCGAATGCTTGTTTAATCCCCTTAGGGAATCTATTCAGTGTCTAATCTGGAATTAAGCTGCAAGGTTTTTAGTGGGTTGCCATATTTGATCCTCGGATCTGTTAGTCTGCTGATCTGAATGCACTCTGTCTTACAATACTGTGGCCAGTTATGACATTTTTTATGGTGATGTGTTAAAGGCATATGTGTTAAAGCCTTTCATGGAACTCTGCTGTAAAACTACTAAGCAGCATGGACAACTGTACCAGTCTGTATGGCTTACTAGCAAGCTGGCAAGTTACTTCTTGTGTGTGTGTCTTCTTCAATTTCTGGTCTCACTGCCATAGCAACGTCCATTAAATAAGTGTCCCAACTTGAAAAATCACTTAAACTCATTACACTTTACTTAGCTGCAAACTTTGCATTTTATGTGTTGTGGCTATGCTGCCCAGCTCTAAACTGATGTGGTCATAAGCCAGCCACTCACTAAGAGGTATCCACCCTTCTCACTATAATAACACATATGTTAGTTAAACGAAGGACTTCTTTTATTGCAAGTAGACAAAGCCCCCTAACCCTGGGGTGAACAATACCAAGGAAATCACATTTCTAGATACCATCTCCCTTGGGCACCTGGGCCCTTGAAAGTGATAGTACTTAACAGACTGCAGCTGCTGTAATTGTTGTGTGTTTACTTCTGTTCAAATGTAATGTCCGTCAAATCTAATTGTGTAAGAGTGCAAGTAGTTTAAACTTATCATGTAACATTGTTTAAAAGGGCAGCTATAAGAAGCATCTCAGCAATGATCCTTTAGCTTGATAAATCACATTATGGACAAACAATAATCTTTGCTTATCTGGTGCTCTTTTTCCACGTGATGGCTAGAAAAACACTTCTGTCAGCTGGTGGCAGATTCATCAAAATATACTGAACAAAAATATATATGCACGAAAGAATATGTGGATTTATTTTCATATATGGAACTAGAGTATATAGCCAAAAATAACCATATTTTTCTCGACAAATAGACATCACTTTGAGAGCATTAGGGGAAGTTTAAATGCATAGTCCAAGAGTTAGGGCATCAAATACACCATGGGGGTCAACATCCTGAGTTCACAGACACCATTAAATTTGTGCAGAGCAGTACACCAGCGGCACATGGACATCACTAAGTTGTCAATAGAGGCCTAAGGGATATTATCCCATTCCTCCTGGAGTGCTTCTTGCAGTTGGCGAACATTTTCGAGAGCTGGAACATGATGGCTGAAAACTCTGATCCAGAACATTCCACAGGTGTTTGTTGGGCGACATGGTGCATGAGGGTGGTTCCTAATGCTACCAGTGTCTCTGAAGCGTGTTCCCAGACGGCTGACAGTGGAATGATGCACATTCAGGCATGCTGCAACTTCT